CTTCTGTTCTTCTTCTTCAGAACTGAGGAAGCTTCTTGGATGAGAAGGGAAACCTCTTCAAGGAAAGAACCAGAAAGTCCAGTTGCCTCTTGAAAAAAAGCACCTTGGGAAGAGCCATGACGTGGAAGATGGAGAATCTCCATAGATGTCTACAAGAAAATAACCAAGATATAATTCTACAAAGAAATTAAAAGGCAAGGCTCCAAAGATATGAAATCTAATTGGCAAAACCCACTCGCTGCTTCCTATCTTGTATTGCACTTCCTGGAAAGCATCCTATTTAAAACAACTAGACATAAGTCCCTCACTCAGCCCAGATCTCCAAGCTTGCCTCATTAAGCACAGAGTGGCAGCATTAGATCATTGTTTAATGAAACACATCATTGTTTACATCCAAATTGATTTTAGTCTGTGCCTACACCAAGCCCGATGTGTACAAAATTCCCAATAATGTCTTTTATTAAATCAGCACCATTGCCGAAATCAACGGCCTTTTACACCTTTCATCCTAATGAGGTCAGAACTAATTTTATATTCCTGATATGAAAAGGAACAGACAATAAATCTGTCAGATAGATAGATAGATAGACAGACAGACAGACAGACAGATATAGATAGATATAGATATATAAATATATAAATATATAAATATATAAAGAAAGAAAGAAAGAAAGAAAAAAAAAAGAAAAGAAAAAAGAAAGAAAGAAAAAAAGAAAGAAAAAAAGATAGATAGAAATAAACTTCACTCCCCCCCACATTTTGGGCTTTTTAAATACTGAGTAACTCTCAACCATCTGTTGTTTCGAAGTACAGAGTACATCAATGAACATATGGGCTGCCTTCTGAACCAGCTGTAGTGTAGTTAAAGTTATAATAAGAGCTTTTTTTGGAGTGGGGGAAGGAGATCCATTTGCATTAAAAACTTGGCTCACTGAAACATCTGTGACAAGCTATAGAGCCTTTCGCAGCACTAAAAACTAATACAAATTTGTCATTTTATAACACATTTCTAAAAATAATAATAATAATTCTACCCCCTTATTTATGGCTGTAAAGATTAAAATAAACTGTGTTATTTTTCGGCGTCCTGGCTAATATTTGTCTCTCTTCCAAACCTAAGTTTGACGTATCCAGTTCCAGAAATTCGGTACCTGACAGCTACTGTGTTTCCCCGAAAATAAGACCCTGTCTTATATATATTTTTTGCCACCAAAAAAAAGGCACCAGGTCTTATTTTCAGGGGATGTCATCCACTGACTAATCTCACTTGCGTGCATTGGCCCCTGGCCTCCTTTTCGCTGTCAGAGGCCTTCAGGAACTTTTTCTTCTGCGGCTGGCAAGGCTTTCCTGAAGGCCTCCGCAGCCTCAGGATCGATCCAGAGCTTTGTTATCAACCCCAGAGGCCTTCAGGAAAGCCTTGCCAGCCTTGCCGGCTACAGAAGAAATGGTCTGGCAAGGCAGGTGTCGGAGTGTGCGAGGCCTGGCTACAACTGTCCAAAGGTAAATAGTAGGGCAGCTCCACCCAACCCCCATCCGCATCCTAGGTTAACTTTTACTCTTCCACTCTGGAGTGGGAGGGATCTTAATTAGGGCTTATTTTGGGGAGGTAGGGCTTATATTGGGCACACATGTGAAAACCAAGCTAGGACTTACTTTCAGGGTAAGTTGTATTTTCGGGGAAACAGGATAGTTAGGACTGCGATTTTGTGAGTGACCCAAAAGACAGCCATCTTTAACTTAGAAGGCCAAATCTTCTTTATGAAAACATTTGATGCAAACATTTTAAGGTTTGCTTTGACATGGGGTGCATAAAATCTGGCTGAGATTAATTAAAGGGTAATGTGTGTGTGTGTGTGAGAGAGAGAGAGAGAGAGAGAGAGAGAAAGAGCTGTTGGATCCAAACAAATATTGATCGAGACACATAACATACCTTTATCTGGGTGGTTCAGAATCATGATTTTCCGGTGAGCATTTCTAATCTTGGCCTTGCCAGCAGATGGACTGTAAAATATATGTATTTAGAGCGCTTAGCATAAATCAGGATTCTTGCAGGCGGAAAACTAGCCAATTTGCATTGCTTCAGAAAACATAAAATGCCATCTGGTGGTGAAAGCGAGTACTACATCTTTTCAAGAACTTTTTAAAAAGAAACCTGGGAGAATAGACTAGAATGCAGAATAGAATAGTATAGAATACAGACTAGACTAGAATATAGAATAGAATAGAATGCAGACTAGAATAGAATAGAATGCAGACTAGAATATAATATAAATAGAATAGGATATAGAATAGAATGCAGACTAGACTAGAATAAAAAATAGAATAGAATAGAAATTAAAATAGAATAGAATAGAATACAGAATATGATATATAGTAGAATAGGAGTAGAGAAGAATAAAATTATTGGGATATTTTAATAGTCAACTGCACAACAGGGAAATTTCTATCTGCTCCGGTTTTTTTCTTGAATGAAGTATCATAATTTCTGTGTTACATTTAAACCTGTGCACATTTTAAATACTATCAGAGTTAATATTCTAAATTAATATATAAAACCTGTATTAACCATTTCCATTCCCATTCCTCTTACTGTGTTTAAACGCCATCGTTTTACTCTGCAGCATGCCTTGAATAACGGATTCAAAAGACACTGTGTAAAAAGACCCAAGTTCAACTGTACAGGTGCTCCTCGACATTCAACTACAATTGAGCCCAAAATTTCTCTTGCTAAGCGAGACAGTTGTGGAATGAGTTATGCCCCGTTTTACTATGTCCCTTTGCCACAGTTGTTAAGTGAATCACTGCAGTGGTTACATGAGTCACATGGTTGTTAAGTGAATCGCGGCTTCCTCGTTGACTTTGCTTGTCAGAAGGTCACAGTGCAACCATCATAAATATGTGCCAGTTGCAAAATGTGTTCCCTCCCTGTGTTCCCTTCCCATCTCAATTCCTCTTCTCCTGTTTCAATACTGTTATTGTTCTGACCAAGGCTTCCGAGACCGTAATTACGCACCCGCTTATTTTAAAAACAATTCTTGTTTTATTGCAACGCTGGGAATTGTTTTCATTCCCAGACGGTAATGAATCTCAAACAGTCCCTCGAGATAAGCACCCACCTTTTCTTTCCTGTGAAGTGCTGCCAATAACAGAAGTGTCGAATGAACTAGAAAAGAAACCCAACCGAAGTACAAAGAGCTTCAAGAATGAATCTGAACTGAATGAACTACTTTGCTTCCTGCAAAGGTTTTGTCATTGAGGTCTGACTTTTATCCCTTATGGGAGGGGCAATCACTTTCCAGCCTTACTCCTGAGTCGTCCCTTTTGTCTCAGCTGCTCTCGCCTTCTAGCAGCTCTGCGCACTGGGAACAGGCTCCCCTTCTTCCTCTGCCTCGCTGCTGCCAGACTCCAAAGGCTCCGGAGTCAGCACCCCACTCCCAGATGGTCCTGGCCCCATCTCTGCATGGGATGCAGGACCCTCGTCCGAGTCCTCTCCAGACTCCTGGACTGGTCCCCGTTCTTCCCCACTGTCCGATTCCGCTGCCGTCTGCACCGGCTGCCGGCAAGCCACAACAATTATTTTATTTTGTGGTGTATCTTGAATAACAGATTCAAAAGACACTGTATGAAAAGACACAACTGGATTTCCAAAGTGCACAATGACAGCTGTTTTTCGAATGCCTTAGAGCTGTTGAGCAGAAAGTTCTGCTGGTAAATTCCCACACCGTTATCTCTTTCAGATAAATCTTCTTTTCAAGGCAAAAGACTTACCTTTTGGTATTTAACACCCAGACAAGTTGTCAAGAAGGTATAAAGGAATTTCACATGAAATGTTGGGAATGCAAATGTAAAGAAGGGACCTTTTATCATTTATGGGGGACGTGTGAGAAAGCGAAGAAAGATTGGAGGAGGATTCCTATTCTAACACGGAAAATTCTTAAAGTGAACCTAAAGAGAAAACCAGAAACGTTTCTTTTGAGTTTAATGGAAACAAATATAACATAGGTGGGTTATATACATACTTTTGCATTTATTTATTTATTTTGTCATGTTCGTGTAGTGTAAAATTGAAGGTGGTGATCCTTTGAGAGCTGTAGGCAATGAAATTTTGTTTATAATGTATGCCAATTAGTGTGCATTCAAAGTGACAATAAAGTTAGTCTATTATTTTTTTCTATTCTAAAAGACTTGGGAAATCTGTTTTATAGATTTTTTTTCTTTAATATACATAAGTGCTTAATAAATAATACATTGTCTGAGTCAATTTAGTTATAACAATAACAAATATATATATATTTTGCTTAAATATAATTTCATCATTTTCTTATCCATAGTAATAGTCTTACATCTTCTAATTTCTACCTCTATTATCTAACCATTGATAGAACAAATCCCATGTTAAGAAATATTCTATATTTTCCTTGTTCTTTATCTTCAATATCAATCTGTCCATTTCCTCAATCTAGTATTTTTTAAATAGTATATTTTCATCTGTAGGAATTTCCTCATTTTTCCAATATTGTGCAAATACAATTCTCGCTGCTGTCAAAATATGTAATATTAAGTATGTATTCCCTTTATTATATTCTTCCGGTATTATATCTAACAAGAACATTTCTGGCTTTAAATCTATATGTTGCTTTATCATTTTTTCTAACCATGTATGTATTTTCAAGTTTTTTTGTTTTTTTTTTGCCTTAGGGCATGTCCACCACATATGATAATAAGAACCCAGTATGATTACATTTCCAACATTGATGTTATATATATGTTGATGGCAGCAAGGTTACTTTATGCACAAAAATGGAAGGACATTTTGATCCCCACAATGGACGAAGAAGGGTTGCAAAAGTTGGTGGAGTTAGCAGAGATGGCTAAATTGTCTGCTTTGATCCAAGAAAAAAAAATTGTGTGTGTGTGTGTGTGTGTGTGTGTGTATTCTTACTTGGAAACCGCTTCTGAACTTTGCGCTTGAGGGGGGGGGGGAGAATGAAACTTTAATTTTGGGTTTTATCAATTAGATAGATTTGTTGTTATAGAACTGGCTAGTTTAAACTATTATGTAAAACACGGAGCTTTGATGTTATTATCTTATTCTACGGCACCAAAGGGAGTCAATGCCTTTTCTTTCTTTTTTCCCTTCTTTTCCACACTTTTCCCTTCCCTATTTTTCCTACTATTTGCTTTTATGGTTTTTTTTTTTGTATGTTATAACATAAACTAATAGCAATTGTTCATTAAAAAAAAAAAAAGACAAAAGGCTTACCTTATGCCTAAAATAAGACTAGCTTCCCGAACATTCATTTTCGATTCGAACCCGCCTTTGTAATACGAAGAAACGGTCTGTGAGCAAAATTAAAAGGGAGAATTTTAGAGGAAGAGCATCGAAACCATCATAAGGACAGAATTCTGCTTGGAAGCAACAAAATGACAGTTCCAGAATAATCATCAGAAACCGCCACGTTCTGCAGAAAGGAGCAGGAAACCTAAATTGGGGGGAAATTTTCTATTTGGAAGAAGCAGCCGAGTTAAATGCTAAATAACTTTACCTGGAGCGCTGTGTGCTCCACTCTCCAAGTTGGCTACATGGGGCTGCTGATTAGTTTTTAAAACTACTACCACCACAATACCATAGACCAGTGATGGCTAACCTTTCTGGGCTCCTCTGCCAAAAATTTGAGCTTGTGTGCTAGCACCCAGAAGGCAATGTGCGCACCCCCTCATGCCCCCTGCACATGCACGCACAATTCTCCCGCTGCTGCCCCCTTACCTGTACTGTACCTCACAGCTGATTTTCGGCCGGTTTGAGGCCTTTTCTGGCCTCCCAGAGGCTTTTATTTAAGCCTCTGGAAGGCCAAAAAAGGCCTCAAACCAGCAGAAAATCAGCTGTGAGGCGCACACATGTGCAGTGAGGTAAGTTTGCCTGTGGCTCGTGTGCCGGCACAAATGGCTCTGCGTGCCACTAGTGGCACACGTGCCATAGGTTCGCCATCATGGCCGTCGACTAAAGTTTGCCACCTGCCATCTGGCAAAGAGAGGCAGAAAGAGGATGTGGGGGAATAACCACAATAGAATTATTTTATTTGACCCATGGCAGCAGGTATTGGAAAATACGGAGCATCCTATTTAAAGTATCTACAGGGAATAGCAACAGCACTTAGACTTATATACCGCTTCACAGTGCTTATCCAGCCCTCTCCAAGCGGTTTACAGAGTCAGTCTCTTGCCCCCAACAATCTGGGTCCTCATTTTACCCACCTTGGAAGGATGGAAGGATGGGTCAACCTTGTGCCTGGTGAGATTTGAACTGCCAAATCGCAGACAGCCAGAGTAGTCTGAAGTACTGCACTCTAACCACTGCGTCACCAAGGCTTTTATTCCTTGGCTTACAATTGTAACCGAGATGGGAAATCTGATCAGTATGTATGTATGTATGCATTTAACTTATATCCACTTTACAGGTTATCTACCAGAGACAATAAAGTATTCCATTCTATTCTGTTCCATTCCATTTTTCATTCCTCTAATTCTTTTCTCTTCTCTTCTCTTCTCTTCTTTCCCTTCTTTATTCCAATATTCTATTCTATATTTTATATTCAATATTCTATTTATTCTATATTCTCTTCTCTTCTCTGTTCTATTCTATATTCTCTTCTCTGTTCTATTCTATTTTCTATTCTTCTCTACTTTATTCTTCATTACAATATTCTATTCCATTCCATTCTATATTCCGTTCCGTTCCATTCCCTATTCTATTCTATTCTATTCTATTCTATTCTATTCTATTCTATTCT